ATCATCTGAAAGTGGAATGAGTTTCCACGGCGTTGCTGACCTGAGTATCTATTATATATAATGAGTTGAACCATTATCATATGGCAAAATCACTAGTTACCATCTCTCCAAAGATGAACAGCAACATTTACAATGGTGCGGCCGACAATGATGTTGTGTTTCAATTATATGATGTTGAGTGTCCTAGGCTAGATTCTGCTAACAGTCTTTGTAATGTGGCCCAGGCAAATAATTGTACGAATAGGCCACCTGCAACTCACACATTTTTTGTTTGGTGTTCATTCTGATGGAGTCAGCCCTCACATTGAATATATGAGACACGAATGTTTTTTTGGGCATTGCTTCCTCACGTGGCTTGAAATTTCAGACATTGTCAAAACAGCCAGCAACACCAACATGCAAGCGCAAAGGAATGGAGTAGGTTACATTAGATTGACCATTGATGATAGTGTAAAACTACGTAGGTAAGCAAGCAGATATAGCAACAAATGGTGTAGGCTTAACTTTTTTTGATGCAGTTAATGGAACTGTGCTATTAGGAAAATGGCAGCAAATTGATACATTGGCAGTTGGTGGAGCAGGTCAAGAAATGCAGCAAAACTACTTTGCCGTTGCTGGTGCCAGGATTGGTGACACAGCAAGTAATTCAACAATCAAAGGAACCCAACATGGAAAAAATGAACTCACTGTGGATGGTAGTAGGATTTTTGTTGGTAACATTAGTGCCGCAAGTAACATTGCTACACTAAGCCAGGACAAAACAACTTTGTGAGAGAAGAAAACAATGGAGTAAACAAGAGGTTTTAATTGCATGCTGGTGGTGCAGATCTTTTTTAGGCAATGAATTGATAGCAATGAATTGATAGAAAGCAGTAGAGCAATAGATATTACAGCAGGCAATATTCTTGTTCGAGGCACAGTGCAGCCCTTGAACCTTGCGGCATTGTAAAAAGCAATTGCTTTGACACTTGTGATAATGACCTTGTATTGACCTTGTATATTCAAGACGGATAATGAAGAGTTTCTGATATTTAGCAACGATGGAAGTATTAAAGTGCCCAGATGAACGTATTTCACTGGAGGTGATGGAGCAAGGAGAATATATGAATTGAAAACACCCTAGTTTTTGTTGAGAACTTTGGAATGCACCGCTGTCAATTGCGCCCCATCAGAATTCAGGAGCAGGTGTAGATGCCAATGTTTTGTTGGTTTGTCCTACCCGGCCCGGTCCCACCCCTTTTGCAAACAGCAGGGAACCTTTGCAAGCATGTAAAAGGAAACAAATGCGTTGCTTGTCAGTTGTTCATGCTCTCGGGTCTCCACTAACCACCTTCCCTTTCAATATTTGACTTCTGTGTTTTATTTCTATTTTGGTTCACCCATGACAATGTCTGAACCTTTGCCAACAAGGAGCATTTGCAACACCAAAAAAGTAGCCGTTTTGGGCGGGGGTAACATATAGTTAAATGTTATATATATATATACATCTATACATACACAAATATTTCACCTGGTCCTCCATGCAAACCTCAAACATCGGCCGACCCGCACCCCAACCAGCTATGCATTCTTCACATACTCAGGAGTCTCATCCCAGTCTGCCGGGTGTTCCCTCCGTGCTGAACGACCCACTGGTGGAGCAGATCTCGAGGCACCTCGAGGACTCCGAGGGCTCCCGTGATGAGTCCCGGGGCCAGCGGCCCAAGCGGAGGAGCTCGGAGCCGGTGTCGGATCCTTGGAAGCCATGGACGGATGGGGTAGACAAAACATGTTGGAGGCTTGCTAAGGGTTATCACCAAGATGGTGAGTCCAAGAATGTCCAAGGCCATAGGGACTGCGATGAGTGTCATCATGGACTGCGACGCGTCGGTCATGAGCCTCAAGGAAGTTGTTCAACCTTGGGAGAAACCTTTGGTGAAGGTTTGTCGATGTTCCAACACTTGGCATGTCCATCCAAAAAAGACAACTTCAAACAACAGCCTCATTTATCCAGTGGTTCGACAGATGTGGGCCACCCACTGCACAGCGCCACAGCCATGCTGAGGATGATGATGACCTAGAAGCCTTGCTCAAAGGACTAGACGATGAGCCGAGCCCTGCAGCACCTGCAGCTACCGCGACACCCGCCGTGGACTCGCCACCTGCAGGGCGGCAAGCGCGTGGGGGGCCTGGCCTTACGCGCGAAGACAGCCACAAAGTGGCTGTGGCAAAGGAAGCCTCCGAGAGCTGCACCAGCTGTGGCAAATGCTTTGAGGTGCCCCAAGAAGGGGAATGGGGGTGCCGAAGGTGGGCTTCATCCAAAGCACTTAGAGTTATCGTTAGAATAATATGCACATGTGTTCAGACACACACCAAAACTGGACAATTGGTTCATACTCGAGCCAACATACTCAAAATTTAAAACACATTGGTTGGGAACATGTCCCTTCCAAAGAACACTTATTATATGGTTCATGGTGTTGCATCAGGTTCCCTGTGAGTTTTCCTTGTTTTTGCTGGTGAGACACATCGGCCATCCTGTTTCTAGTCTTCATCCTGTGCGATCAATGTCGTGGGTGGACGTTCAGTGCGTGAGGCTGGCCAGAACATCTATGAAAGTTCTTTGAGTGGGAAGCGGGAGACCCTGTGCAGTGGCTCGGTAAGAGCATCGCTTGGGTTGGGCTGTAAGGATTCTGCACACTGCATGCCATGTGTTTGTGGACGGTAAAAGCTAACTTCACGAAACCTGCGAAAACTCGGCAGTAGTGATGCCTGCGAAAGTGCTTGTGACCGCCAGTTCCAGAGAGCAGCCGGTCCAGCTTTTGGGAGGCACCATCATGCAACAGTTTGTTTGCGCATTTGGTCTCACAGACTGAAAGCGCACCACGGGTGTCCTGGACAGTGCGTAGTCGTTACGTCCTTGTTTCACAAAAGAATTGTTTGGGGCAAAGCAGGTTTGTATTCCATTCAAAGCTGGGGCCGTTGGCTCAATCGAAAGCAGAAAATGTCCAGATGTCGCTCATGCTGCACGAAGAAAGGGATTGTCGCACATGCTTCGCGTTGGTCAAGCCCCAAGCCATGTCACCCAAAATTGCTGCAGTCCATTAATGCCAATTGGTGCGGTTTGGTCGCAGTAGAAAGATGTAGAACATCTTGCACCAAGATGGATGAACTTATTGGCCTTGATTGGCCTTATATACATTCTGTGAAGAATTGTGTAGCATGCACCCAAGTGCTTGCAAAATGCATCAAAATGCAACATCTCCACTCGTAGTTAGAACTGAGGGAATGGATCCAGGCAGCGAATGTTTGAGTTAGGTTTGTGGAATCACAAGTCCTACTGAGTAGGTGCGGGGGCGCTGGATTCGCTGGATGCTGAGTGAATTAAGCCAAATAGCGAGTCATCCGAGTAGCGAGCTTTGGCCACCGAGGCACCTGTTGGGCAAAGGTGGCGCCTCATTGTGTCGTTTGCGGGGAGGTGATTAGTGGGACGATGGCCAAGGTGGGCGAGGACGCCTACCATCAAAACTGCTTGAAATGTCACTAGGCCTGCAGAAGAATCAGGACCACCTCAATATGTGCCTCAATCCACTTCAGACCGCTTCAGAATGTTCAGAGGCCTTCAGTTTTATTAAGGGGAGCTTGCTGGGCTTTTGATGAAGCAAGCTGAGCAGTTGCTGGGTGAGATGATCAACAGTGAGACTTTTGCCTGGGTGCTTCGCTAGGAGGGGAGACTTCTTTGATTACACGACGCAATATTAGGCCATGTGCAGACTCAGAGTGCCACACGCCCGTCAGATTCCTTCCGGCCCTTTCGTTTTCAGGGATCGGTTTCACGTCGCCCGACGAGGCACACAATGCCACAAGCCCATTGAGGGACGACTCAGCAAAATGGAATGTGGTTTAGCCTGCGGTGCTTGCGCGGACGAGATTGATCGTGAAATTCAGGAGCCATAAGTGATGCAAATAGGAACAACAGGAAGAAAGGAATGGATATTATAATATTTACAAGCAGGGGAGCGAGGGAGCAAGGGAGGGAGGGAGAGGAGAGGAGAGAAGGTTGAACATATACAAGACCTTTGCCAATTCAATCCTCACGAGATCAAATCTGGAGTGTTGCTAAATCTGAACATGCACTCCACCCAATTCCAGTCTTAGGAGCTTCAGTCTTTGCTGGCCCAACATGACGAGACCGGGGCCGCACTCCTGATTGGTGCGCTCAAGGCGGAGAAATTGCCGGCTTCGGTGAGTTTGCAGAATATCCCTCACGTGGGGTGTTTTGTTTGTGTGGCTCCCCAACCGGCATCAGGATCATAAAGAAAACAATGCAGACTATATAGGTCCCTTGGTCCCTGGGTCCCCTCTGGCACCCCCTCCCGCTTTTTTTAATAGTTCCCATTGCCTTCCACTACCCCTGTACCTCTATCACTCCGACCGCCCCACCCCACTACGAGTCTTACCACAGTTACCACAACTACTATCTTCTTTGCGTTGGCGCTGCCACAAAGGTGGATGATAAGGCCCACATTCGCTTTCGCCTAGCTTGACAGCCAGAACCACCCCTTAGTAGGAAGCGCTGTGCCCTACCCCTACGACTTCCACTACTACTACTACTACTACT